ATATATATATATATATATATATATATATATATATATATATATATATACACACACACATAAGCTCATTTGATTACTAAAAAAAATTAAAAATCAATGTTAGATTAATTTAAAAAGTCATGATGTACATATGGATGTATATGTGCATACATATGTGAAATCAAATGAAATGGTACTGAATCAAGAGTTTAAGATTTTGAATCACAGGTTTAAAGTAAAATCAGATGATGTGATTTTTGCTATCACCTGCCAGAATCCCTTTCTCAATACCGATTACCTTATCGGCAGCACTAGAACTTTGGGCCCAGGATTCCCCAACCAGCAGATTTCAAAGCTTTAGCTGGTAAATCTCCAAGTTGTTTACAGTTGCCTTGCTCCTTCTTTTTGGTTTTGGGAGATTCTGGGCAAGAAGGGGAAGGTCCTCGAACTCCAAATACAATGCTCTTTCCATTTCATCACTCAATCTCCTAGTCAATGCAAATTACACCCCCAAGTGTAAGCAAAGCATTACATACACTATACCTGTAATATGCCTATAAATAATTGTATTAAATGACTGACAGAACTCATGTGGCTTATCCTGCATTACAAAATCAGAGACCTAGTTTATCTTTGCTATCAGATCTTTGTACATTAGTCTCTCTCTACTATAAAATTAGCCCTAAAATGTGATACCATGGAAATATAGAAGAATACAGAAGAATGAAATAAATTAATGGCACAAGGGTAACTAGGTTTTAAATTAGTGAGTCAATTTCTATAGGGTCATCTCGAAAAAAGCAATTTAAAGAATAAAAAAATGCAATTAAATGACATTAATGATTCTATTTTACAAAAGAATTTGTCCCTACTTAGGCTGACTTTTGCTTGAAGGTGACAATACGGGTGAGGAGAGTGGTCTGACTGGTGAAGGTGCTCCAACAGCTAAGTTAGGAGATCCAGCTGTAGTCAAAGAGTGGGCTCTTCTGGAGGGCAGATTATTAGAAGGACTAATGAAAACATTCTGATCTGTAAAAGTATAGGAGGGAAAATAAACATTGTCACAGGTTATACATTTCCTTATAATTTGTCTCTCAGTAACCCCATAATAACAAACATGAAACTTGAATCCCTCTTAAATGCTGTCTTTAAACTTAAATATACTTTAAAAACTAAACCAAGATTTTTGACAAGTGTCCTGTATCATCAAAAGAATGTCTTCTATGTTCAACAAAGGGAAGATAACGTAAGTTAACATAGTTCTAATGCTGCTGTTCCTGATTTTTTTGTTTTTATTTTTTAAAATACATCATATAGATAAGAAAACTTGGCTATTTTAGTAAGACAAAGTACTTTAGCAGCTGTTCTTAAGGCATCATAATCCTAATACGAAACAAAATTTCTAATTATTATAAAACTTAAAAACCAGCTATGACCTAGATTTAGAATATGAAAACACAGCTCTACCTGATTCTTCTTGCTCATTAAGGTCTTGAGGATCTGAGCCACTGCGGCCACGACACTCCTTATACACTTTTGCCTTTCGTGTGGCCATCTCATCATCAGTAGCCTCTCCACTTTCACCCTGGAAACAGAGAATACAGAACATTTCTGTTCCTTTTCCTTGGAACCATGTCTAATCTATCCCAGATACTTATCTCTTTCCTGAACTATTGCAACTTCTTCTTTGCTGGACTCCCCAGCATTAGTAACACCTGCAGCTCAGGCCATCACCAGCATCTTCATCATGGCCTTCCGCGGTCTCTGCTTTAAAGGTGGATTTCCATTGCTCATGAAGAGATTAAAAATCCTTAACTTTTGTTTCAGAATCTTTCCTTGAGATATTCTGGATTATTCTGTCTCCTCATGAATGGGGGCTGAATGTGGAGTCAGAAGGCTTGGGTTCAATTCTTGCTGTGATCTTATTACCTATATGACCTTGGGCAAGTCCCTTAACCTACCTGGTCTCAGTTTTCCCATCTGAAATGAGGAGGACTGGACTTGATGATCTCTGTGGTCTCTTCGAGTTCTAAAACCATGCTCCTGTGATCCCTTGTATTACAGTTATTTGTACACATTTTTCTCCTTCTATCTATTCATTTGTAAACTTCTTGAATTTAATGTTTGTTTAATGAGAGTAATGTTTGTGTTCTCAAGAGAGTTTGTATCACCAGTGCCTCCTTGCACATGGTATGTGCTTAATAAATGTTTAATAAATTGAATTGAATTTCCAAAAGGAGAAATGTTATATATGGAGGTTAATTTCTTGGGTTAGACTATAACATCTTATAAAATACTAAATTGTAGTTATATTATTAGATAGACTTTTGTCATCTCCATGAGAATCTAACTATAATTTATGAGATTGTTTCTAAGGGAAACTACATTGAGTCAGATGTTAAGATTCTACAATTCTATCTTTTTTTTGATCCCCAAATGTACACTGGGGTTAAAAGGAATCTCAGAAACATGGTATGCCTAGAGGAAAAATAAGTATGCTGCTTGATCCCCACTGCCACTTTCAGACTGTCTCTTCCCATCATCTCAACAACTTTTCCTCCTCTAAAGTTCACTCAATCCAGACAGATAATTCATTCAAAATCCTGCTGGCTATTCTGTGAGCTCCCAGCATTCTTCCTAAATTTCTTGAGGAGTTCAGTATCTACATTCCCCCACTTCTGCAAAGGGGTGCATTTTTGCAAATCTTTTTCCATCTACCTCCAGCAAAATACCTCTACAGTTATTCTTTTTCTATCTCTAAATCTTCTCTCTCCCTATTTTCTGGTTCTTTGTTTGCCATATAATGAAATATACAATCTTCCCCATCTTTAAAATACCCAAAGTATACCACACCTTCCTACAATCTATTGTCTATCTCACCTCCATTTCTCAGTCAAATTCCTAGAAAAACTGTCTAGACTTTAAGCCTCCCTTTCAATCCTCTTACTCTCTTCTAAGCCTTGACAATATGGCTTCTGGCCTCTTTATCTGACTAACCTGATGGCCTTTTCTCAGTCCTCATGCTTGACAACTCTATAGCATTTGATATGGTTGACAACCCTTGCCTCCTGGTTATTCTTTTTTCCCTTGGATTTTTTCAGGATACTATTCTCTTTTCGTTGTATTCTTACTCGTCTGATGATTCCTTCCTTTTCTGGAGTGTCATTCTTATCATGCCCACTAACTGTGGGTATACCCCAAGGTTCTGGCATGGACCTTCTCTTCTCCTGCTACACTTTCCAGTGGCTTTTCATCAGCTAATATAGGTTTAATCATCATCTCTCTGTAGATGACTCTTAGATCTCCATAACTAACTCTAGTCTCTCTCCTGAGCTCCAGTCCTGAGTAACTAACTCCTTATTGGACATTTCAAATAGGATGTCCCAAAAACATCTCAAATTCAGTATGTCCAAAACAGAACTTGCAACCTTCCCCTTAAACACACCTATCTTCTAAATGGAGCACTTTAATTCTTCTAGTCCTTAGCATTCCCAACCTCAGCATGATCTTCAATTCCTTACTCTCACCCTCTCTCATGGGATACATGGATATCCAATGAGTTGTCAGATTTTGTCAGTTTTTACCTCCACAGTATCTCTTTTTTCATGTCCATGTAACTTTTATTGAAGTATGTAGGTCTTTGGAAATCAAACTTGTGTGCATTAAGGTATGGCCAAACATAGAATCTATCAAATTCAGTGAAAAGTTGTTGACTTTAAATAGTAGCTGTAAGAATGACCAATATATATTCTTTGTTACAACTGTCCTCACTCTACAAGTAAAAAAAATAATAAACATTCAGTAAACATTCTTTCCTAAGGCAGTTTCCCTTATACAGCAGTGATTTATCCATTTCTTGTATATACAAATTTTGTGAACGTACCAACCACTGATTCTCACAATTGAAAAATAAAAGCACAAAAAAGTTTACACTCTTGTACAGGTAAATAAAAGATCATCTTGAATTAATCTGTATATCCTTAAGGGCATAGTATAGTTTCAGTTCCATTACCTATGACATAACTATTAGCTTCTTACATACAAATATTGACATATTTGGCTTGTGCTTCAAAGCCTTTGTGTTTATAAAGCCCATGTCAGTGCAGCTCATAACTGGAAGTCACTGCTCCACAGTATCTCTTGCACCTGTCCCAGTCTCTCTACCTATTCAAGCACCACCATAGTTTGGGCCCTCATCACTTCTCACCTATACTATTGCAATGACCTCCTAATTGGTCTCCTTGCCTTTAATTTTTCCACATGCTAACCTATTTTCTATATGTTGGCCAGAATGATTTTGCTAAAGCATGGGTCTAACTATGACACCCCTCCCCACACTCAATAAATTTCAAAGGTTCCACATTACTTCTAGCATAAAATATAAATTCCTCAGTTTGATGCTGAATGCCTTCACAACTGCCCTCCAACTACCTTTACAATTTTATTATACATTTTTCTAGGCATATTGGCCTTCTTACTGTTTTGTGTACCAGAAACTCCATCTCCAGTTTGATGGCTTTACACTGGCTAGCCCCCATCTCTAGAAAGCACTCCTTTGGCCATATTTCTCAAAACCCCTACTTTCCTTCAAGGCGCAGCTCAGGTGGGACCTCCCACAGGAAATATTTTGATACTTGACCACACTCCCCAGTTGCTAGTGTCCTTCCTGCTAAACTACAATGTTTTAATTTTTTAAAGTTTTATACATACTGCTACCCAATAGGTGCTTAATATGAATGTTGACTGATAAATACTAATAACAAAAGCTAACATCATAGCTAATAAGAGTTATAAGTTTGCAAATAACTTGGCATATATTATTTAACTTGATCCTCATTTAATTTACTGATCAGTTGCCAAATCTTGCCGATTCTACCTCTAAAATATCTTATATCCATCCCTTTCTCTCCACTCAAATGGTTACTACCCTATCCAAACTTTCATCACTCTTAATCAAGAACAAGCATCTACTAAATGCCTACTATATGGCCAAGTACTGTGCTAAGTGCTGGTGATACAAAGAAAAGCAAAAATGGCCCCTGCTTTCAAGCAGTTTACGTGCTAATGAGAGATAGAACATGCAAATAACTATGTATATGTATATGTACATATGTGTATATGTATATATCTTTATCTATCTATCTATCTATCTATCTAGTAGGAGGTACCTTAGAGGGAAGACATTAGCAGTGATGGTGGGTGCCAGCAGAAACAGTCTCCTGGAGAAAGTAGGATTTGAACTGAATACTAAAGGAAAACTAAATATTGAGATTCAAAAGCTTCAAAAACTAAGTATTTGAGTACAAAGGAAAACTAAGATAGGCAATGAAAGACAGAATTCCAGGCATGGGAGACAGCCAGTGAAAAGGCAAAATTCAGAGATGGAGCACTGTATTGTGTGAGGGGCCAAGTTGTGAAGGGCTTTGTAAGCCAAAAGATTTTGTACTTGTATTGACCCTGAAGGTAATAGGGAGTTACTGAGATGACTGAGTAGGAGAGTAACATGGTCAGACCCATGCCTTAGGAAGATCACTCTGACTAGGATTACTGCAAAAGCCTCATTATTTATCTTCCTGTCTTTCCTTCTCTCTTGTTCGTCTTCACCCAGCTACCAAATTGATAATCTTATATTACAGATCATGTTATGTTACTCTCCTGCTTAAGAAGCTTTACAAATTCCTCTGTTTGCCTTTTAAAACTATTTACAATCTACCTCCCATTTGTTTTTATGGGCTTAACACACATTATTCTTTTTCACATACTCTGTACTCCAGCCAAACTAGTATCCCTGCTGACCCTTTACATGACAAGGCTGACCCCCACAGTGAAATTCACTTCTTCCTCATCTTACCGCATAGAATCCCTCTACTCAAATGCCACCTCCTACAGGAAGTGATTCTAATCCTCCTTGCACCTTACAGTCTCTATCAAACAATTTAGCAATTTAAAAAATTTGTATTAAAATTTTTTCTCTACAGCTAAATTATAATTTATAATGAGAAGGCAGAGACCATGTTCTATGCTCCTTTCATACCTCCCATGGCACCTGCCTTGGTGCACATTATAGTTGTTCATTAAGCATGTGTTGATTTGATATGAAATATGGTAAAGTGTCAAACTCTTACCCTCATAAGGATTTTTTTCTTTTTCTTATTTGAACTTATCCCAAGGGTGTTGTTCCTTTGGACAATAGGTTTCTCCACACTTTTAGACAGTGTTACTGGGCTTGTATTTCGTGTTGTCCAGCGTCTGCCACCAAACAGTTCAACAGCATGAGCCAAAGTTGGACCTTCAAATCTTCCATCCTCCTATAAAGAATGACATGGTTACAAATAGAGGATTGAATGTAACACAACTGAGAAGCTCCTCAGAAAAAGGAACATTAAATCTACGCCATCTTCTGCTACTGAGTTCCCTGTTCTCTCATTCTGTCATTGCTTGCTCTTGCCAATCCCCAACCCTAGATTACTCCCACCATCTACCTCCTCCACTCCTACTCATGGATTTCTGAAGAGAGTTAGAAAAGGTCACAACTGTGCTCATTGGATGTACTACAAATTTAGTTTATTTAATCTCATTTGGGCCTTCACCATAGTAAGGTCATCCTTTTATTCCTAATCCATTAATCCATTCTCTATTTCATTCTTGACAATAGTCTTTCCACAGCTCCTCTTCTTTTCTGAAAATTTTCCCCACTCTCATAGTTGAAGACCTTTTCTCATACTTTAATGAGAAAACAGAGGCTATTCGCCATGAACTCCCTCTTTTCCCCTCATCTTCATCTACAACCCCTTGCCACTGATTATCCCTCATTGTCTTATCTTTTATTCCAAACTTTGGTGAAAGTCCAGGCCAACCCAGCTATATGTGCCATTGATCCCATTCCCTCTTGTCTTTTTCAGTAGATTTCCCCACTATTATCCCACCCTCTCTCCTCTTCCTGTAATTTTCAATTTCTCTTTATCTTTGGATTCCTTTCTTAGTGTATTAAAACATATTTAAGTCTCTCTCAACTCCATCTTGAAAAATCCCCTTACAAGACCCTACTATCCTGTCTTTGTAATCTATTATCCTATATCTCTTCTCTCTTTCACAGCCAAACTTCTGGAAAAAATCTATCTATGCTAGTTGCTTTATCTTCCTCTCCTCTTCCTCTCTCCTAAAACTTCTACTGTTTGGCTTCCAATCTCATAATTTAAATAGGAGTTAACCTTTCCAAAGTCACCAGTTATTTCTTAATTACCAAAACAATGGTCTTTTCTTAATCTTTATCCTTCTTGACCAACTGCTAGTTTTCACCCTTCCTCTGTAATTATCTTTCATTTAACTAACTTGTATTCAGCCAGTGAATAAACATTTATTAATGCCTACTACAAGTCAGGCAATGTGTTAAACACTGGGGAGACATAAAACAGTCTCTGCCTTAAAGGAGCTCACAATCTAATGGATTTTTAAGTATTTATTCTGTATGTAATTATATACACGCTCACATGCATGCACACACGCACACACACACACACACACACACACACACACACACACACCATCTCCTCAGTTGAAGTTAAGCCCCTTTGAAGCACAGATTGTCTCATGTATTGTCTTTGCATCTCCAGTGATTAACAGGTACTGACTTCTCAGTAGCATCTGACAATGCTGACTGCTGGTGTCTCCTCCAACCTAGACATTCTCTCTTCTGTGATTCTGGATCCTGCTCTCTCTGGGTTCTTCTCTTACATATCTGACCATTACTTCTCTGTCTACTTTGCTGAATCATCATCCAAAACATATCCCCTAGGTGTACTCCAGGGCCCTGTCCTGGGCCTCTTCCCTTTTTGCTCTATTATTGACATTATTTCCCATAGATTTAATTACCATCTTTATTCAGCTATGTATCTTGCCCAATTTCTCTTCTAAGCTCTAGTCTGGCATTACCAACTGCCTATTGGACCTCTCACAATGGATATCCCATAGATATCTTAAACTCAACAAATCCAAAACATAACTTACCTTTCCCTTCAGATCTTTTCGAAATTTCCCCATTTTGTTGAGGGCAACACTACTGTTCTAGTCATTTAAGTTTGAAACCTTGACGTCATCCTCTGCTCCATATTCTCATTTACCCCACATAGGCACTTAGTTGCCAAATCTGCACTTTCTGCTCCCCAAAATCCCTAATAGTTGTTCCTGTCTCTCTAGCCACATAGCCGCCATTCTAGTCCAAGCCCTCCTCAACTCTGGCCTAGGCTAATGCAATAATTTCCTAACGGGTCTTGCCTCAGATCTTTCTTCCTTTCAATATATCATTCGTGTAGCTGCCAAACTGTCTTTCCTAAAGCGCATGTCTGACGATAGGAATCCCCTACTCACTAAACTGCAGTGGCTTACTATTAATTACCTTTAGGATCAAATATAAAATTTTCTATTTGACTTTTAACTACCCCCAAACTACCTTTCCAGTGTTATTGTACATTATTCCGCTCTACACACTAACTAAACTGGGCATCTTGACTGTTTCTCCCATGTGGCATTTCATCTCCTGTATCCATGAGAGGGACTCACCTCCCTCTATTTCTCAGGCTTAGCTGAAGCCCTACATTTTACATGAAGTTTAACTGATGAGTTCCCTCTACCTCCACTCTCAATCACACACTGTATCTATTTTGTATACACCTATATATTTCCATGTTGTCTCCCTCCAGTTAGGCAGTTAGTTTTTTGAGGATGGAGACCATTTTTTAACTATCGTCTTAGAATTTCCAGCACCTAGCATAATGCTGGGCACATGGGACATGTTTAATAATGTTACACAAAAATATGATGGTATTTTTAAAAATTTCATCCTCACTCTCTGCTGAAGGAATTTTTCTGTGATCTAATTACCACAACCATATTTAGTTTAAAGTTAGATACAAATATGATCAGGGTTTGCTCAGTTTGGTGAGATACTGCTCGCAACACCCCAAATCCACAAAGAATGAAACAAGTGAGAAAGGCTACAAAAGCTATATGGAACTTCTGCTTAGGATTTAGGGTTATACAAAATTCAAAGAGAGTGAGGAGTGATTCATTGGATATCACTGAAGAATGTGGTGCTTTGGATGAGTAAATTTTCCCACTAATTTAAGGTGAATGTTTTAAATGTCAAAATCTTGTTTAACTGTATTTGATGGAAAATTTTAAAAAATTACTGTGAATTTTCTTGCCTTACTCAACAGAGTTCATGAGAGATTGTCTAACTTTTTCTGGATAAACATCAGTTTTTGTACCGTGCTCTGATACAGTAATGACTCTGGAAGCTGATCAGATATGCAGGACTGAGCTTGCCCATTCACTGAATTTATTGAGATTTCTTTGCTAGTTGGGAGTTCTGCTATTTTCTCCTTTTGTAGTTCCCTCAGTGACTAACGAGCCTTACAGAACTGTTTTCCTCTAAATTTACTGAGTGGTCGTTGCTATCCTGTTCCAATCTTTTTTTAACACATAAAATATGTTTCTCTTCAGAGTGAAGAAATGTGTTTGCTTCCAGGTACAAACACAACTGTATTTCTCCACTGTTATTTCCTGTTGTCAGTTTCCTCTTGTTTCACATTCCTCTTTATCCCACTGTCTTGTTTTTACTGCTCATTGCCCTACTCTCTGAATATAACAGGAGGACAGAACTGATGATTTCCGGGGAAAACTACAAGATGAAGAATGGCAGAAGCAGACGGGCTCCCCCAACAAACCCCACCCCCAGGAGAACATAAGCTTCTTGAGGGGAGAGACTGTCTTATTTTTCTATCTCCAACACCTAGAAAAAGACCCAGCACATTTTAGGCACTTAACAAATACTTAAATGGCTGAATATTATAAGAGCAATTCTTTATTTTTTTAAGAGCAATTCTTGTTGAACTGAGAGGTCTTTTGGCTCACTTCTGGGCTTATGGATACTCTGGAAGGTTAAAGATAATACGAGTTTAACCACTTGATAAGCAAAGCATAATACACGTGTAAATTTTATATATATGTACATATAACATATATAAAAATACACACACGTAGATATGCATATAGTAAAACCTACATGTAGTACTATAATATAGTAATAATACCTATAGTTAGGGCCGTTTTCCTCCACAAGGATCTCATATAACTTTCAGAAATATGACCTGAATTGTCCTCATGGAGCTAATAGAAAGTATATATAATTATCCTATTTTATAGATGACAAAACTAAGATAGGCATTATACAATGAAGCATATAGATTGAATTCGAATATAACCTGAATTTTTTCAAAATTTAGGATTTAACTTCTATTCATTCTTCAATCCTACCCTTTTATTACTCTTAGCTAATAAGCTACATTAGCTATTAATTAGGATTAATGAGTTGTCTGCAAAGTAGTAGGCCAGGACAAACTGATATACAAATAAGTACTGAGAATCCTGGGTTCAAATCTTACCTCTGAGTTTCTTCTACCTAAAAATAAGGAAGTCAGTCAAGAGACTTCCGCGGACCCTTCCAGTTCAAGATTTATGATTCCAGGAAGAATTTTTTTGGGGGGATATATATAAATACAGGCATTCCTCAGAGACATAGAGGGTTCTATTCCAGACTACCGCAATAAAGTAAATATCGCAATAAAGTTAGTCACATGAATTTTTTTGGTTTCTCAGTGCAAATAAAAGTTATATTTACAGTACAATGTAGTTTGTTAAGTGTGCAATAGTATTGTATCTAAAAAAAGTACGTACTTTAATTAAAAAAAGTTATTGCTAAAAAATTCTAACCATCATCTGAGCCTTCAGAGAATCAGAATCTTTTTGCTGGTGGAGGGTCTTGCCTCGATGCTGATGGCTGCTGACTGATCAGGGTGGTGTTTGCTGAAGGGTGGGATGGCTGTGGCAACTTCTTATAATAAGAAAACAATGAAATTTGCCACATAATCAACTCTTTGTGTCACTTGAAGACTTAAAAGGTCAATGTAGGGTTATCAACTGGTCTAATTTCAAGATTGCTGTGCCTCAGAAAATAGGAAGGCCAGAGGAGAGGGAGAGAGACTAGGGAATGGCCAGTTGGTGGAGCAGTCAGAACACAACAACATTTATCAATTAAGTTTGCCATCTTATGTGGGTGCAGTTCATGGCACCCCAAACAATTATAATAGTAACATCAAAGATCACCGATCACAGATCACCATAACAAACATAATAATGATGAAAAAGTTTGAAATATTGTGAGAATTACCAAAATGTTACACAGAGACACAAAATGAGCACATGCTGTTAGAAAAATGGTGCCAACAGACTTGCTCAATGCAAGGTTGCCACAAACCTTCAGTTTGTAAAAAACGTAATCTGGGAAGTGCAATAAAGTGAAGCACAATAAAACAAGCCATGCCTCTATATACATATGGATACACATATGTATCCATATGTATGCAGGTATATGTGTATGTACAATACAGTCTCCAATGTGAGATACATAATTTAATATCTACACAACATTAAGTGATTTCTCTAAAGTTACACAGGCTATTAGGGGATTATAATAGCATTTGATGTTTCAGCTCTAATGTTTCCAATGAGTGTTTAGTCACTAACATATCCCGGCAGTTCACTAATCACGAAGTCTTGAAGTTAAAATTGCAATCAGGTTAAATTTTCATTATTTATTTTTCTCTACATACAATACTGTAGTGGGAGACCATTAATATCTTGTATCATTAATGTAAGGTAAATACTAAATTCCTTACCTGATAGAGACTGACATATTGCTTCCTTAGCCACTGTTGTCGCTGGTCGGGAAATTTCCTCATTTTTCTTACAGCATTTGTTAATTCTGATAATCCATCATATAACATTTTAGCAGTGTGCTTTGGTGCCACAAAGTGCAATAATCTATTATCAGTAGTCTGAAGCCCATAAAGCAGTGTCACACTATTCTCTAAGAGGGACATGTTACTGAGTTTGTTCTGAACACACACAGTGTGCATATCGATGCCAGGATGTCCCATGTACACAGCCTTGGCTGAAAACAAATCCAAGAGACCTTCCACCAAACCATTTAATCCAGTATTGCCAAGTGACTGAAGTTTGCCAGGCTCAGCTATGTTTCCTGTAATGCCTGATTTGGCTTTAGTATTGGCTAGTGAGGCAGTTGTGGGTTTTATCCAGGTCAAAGTACTATTATCAGGTTGAAGCCGAAGAAAACAGCGTGCTGACAGATGCATATCCTGATCATAGTGGATGACGGTGGCTCCTTGGAGTATGAACTGATGGACATCAGCTCTAATAGACAACACATACCAGGGAATGAGTTCTGTTCCGTGGTTGAATGCTTTCTGCTCTTCTTCTGTTCCATGGAAATCCCATTCTTTTGCCTGCTCAAAAATATCACTTTCCGAATCAGACAACTCTCCAATTATAAACCTATATTGGAGGTGAGATCACAAAAATTACCAGTGATTAGTTTTATAGTCTAATAACTATAAGATGAAATGAACTCAACAAAATGCTAACATAAGAACATTACATTTATTCTTATTTAGCTATGGATTCCAAATTAGTAGAAAAATATGGTGACTTTTGGAAATATAAAATGTAGAGGCATTTATCTAATTGATTTAACCATATCCTCAATAATTTGTGGCAATATAGACATCTAAAATGGATTTTCTAGGTCTATTAGGTGACAAACACATAATTATGAGTGAGCTGAAGCGATAAAAAATTGAAATGATTTTTCATATGTACCCAGGAGAATCTCTTTCAATAAGCAATTATAACTAGTTCAAAGATAAAAATTATAAAATTATGAAATTTTGTCATGTAAAATTGATGAGATCCTAATTTTCATTCTGGTAAGAATTAGTCTTGTTAAGGAGAAGACAAACTTACTCTGAAACAGGAGAGAAAGGAGAGAATGAAATGATATTATATAAGTTTTTGAGATATTGGAAGGAGTGGAAGGACCTTGAAATGACCTCATGCTCAAAAAAAAAAAAAGGAAATCTTCTTTGCATGGGGTGGGTATAGGCTTTGGGGAGGAGACAAGAGAAAGACAATTGGGAAAAGGGGAAAAGGAGCAGAGAAATTGATTGGTGGAGGTTTAGCATGGTTTATGATTAACATACTAGGAATGAAGAAAGTGCAGTGGTTGAGATTGGGATGGAAAGAATAAGGGATTCTAGGGTGGTAGCTCATTAATCACTGAAGCAACTCACTGTATAATCAAGACTAGGCATAGAGGTGAATGAAACTATTTAGTATATTTTTGGAGAGTCAAATTTCATAATGACTGGTGAAGATTCTACACATTAGAAACTTGTTTTTAGTGGGGTCACTACATTTTCTTAAAAGCCAAAGTAAACATGCTGGGGTACTTGCTCCTGGGTCAACGGGGTACTTGCTCCTGGGTCAACTGGTTCCTTACACAGCCCTAATCACCAAAAGTAAGCTTAATCATCAAAGTTATATGGGATGAGGAGGAGGAGAAAAGAAAGAACTCTTGGTGAGTGGCCTCAATTTTTTCAGTGAAATAGGAGGCAAGGTTCTCAGCTGAGAGGGTGGGGAAAGAGGGAGCCATGGGAGGTTTGAGGAGAGATGAAAAGGTTTGGAAAGTCACTGTGGTGAGTGGTTCAGTGAATCAATTATGGAGGTGTAACTGCCTTGCCATTGTGAGGGCCCAGATGACATTATGTAATAATCTCATCATTATGTATTAATAACTTGTAGTGGCCCCAGGCAGCACAGTTTTGTGGTTCTCTCCAGCTTCTTTCAGTACCACAAGGTATACCACAAGGAGTGAAGGCAGAGGGTGATAAGAGTAGTCTAAGCTTAGCTGGGGTTTGGGAAGGCAGGATTTCTAGTAGGATAAAGGGGTAGGGAACTTGACAGAAAAGAACAGTGTGGAACTGAACTAGCTTACCAAGGGTTCAAGAAGGGGAAGGGAAGAGATTGTAGCTAGCACAGGGGTAAATGATGAAAGCAAGTGTGAAAAGATGTATATGAACTGACACAGAGCAAATAAGCTGAGCCAAGAAAACAACATCCACAATGATTACAACAACAAAAACAGAAAGAATGTCTTAGCAGACTTGTTTCCATCATTCTCAACACTGTTTAGTCCTTTTCCAGTTTGCACAATTTAAATTGTAAGGGCTTGGGTGACTTTAAGAAACAAGGATCTAAGTAGTGTAGGCAGTCATCTTGCTTATATTTCTGCAGTAGAAGGGGGTGCTTGCCCTCCCATCCTGAACATGTCCAAATGGCACTTCCTGTGGCGAATAAAAATTATGAGATAAACATCAGTGGTAATAATTTATGGTGATTAAATAAATTTGAATTATTATTATTTTTTTTTCATCAAGGGAAATTGTGTTTTCCACATTCTGTATTAAATTTGTGTTTTCAGCTAAATACATTTTGCAAAGAGAAATTATGAGCATGAAATAAAGATCTGGAAAAGACAAATTACAAGCCTTTCTATAGCCCAATTCTGCTACTCAATGATGATGTAAATGGCATAAATAATGTAAATGTCTTCTTTAGTGTCAGTTTTTATTTTAAAACTCAAAAGAAACTAATCCCAGATGTTAATAATTCCATTAAAAAGCATTCTTCTAGGGACCAAAGCCTATTGCCTAAAACAAAACTGACAATCATATCTAATTGAATAAATTAATTTCAAACAGGAAACTAGTAGTTTCCCTTTTTAAATGATTACTTATTGAATTTCTGAAGCAAGGAGCCTGATTCTTTCGGGAAGAAAGTACTCTGTAGTTCTACATACTAAGAAATAGAAGTTGTTTAAGAGACTCTCAACCAGAAGCACAGGAAGCTATTTACTAATTAAGAGATTCGGTAGTCAAACTAGACATAGGTTTGAACCTCCATAAGGGACATTTGTACATCATTTTAAAGTCTGAAAATACTTTATAAACATATACATTATCTCATTGTCCCTCGCAACAATTTATGAAGTAGATATTACAAATATGATCATCCTTTTACAAATGAAGAAATAGAGGCACAGAGAGATTAAGTGATTTACACAGCCAGTGGTAGAGGCAGGATTTGAACAAAGGTTTCCTGACTCCTTTTGGTATGCTGCATCAGGGGAATGCCCTCCTCCCACTAGATGGTCAGAGTCCAGAATTCTTGAATTTGGGATTATCCACAAAGCATCTCTAAAGGCTGTCACTACTCAGGAAATTTCCCTTCTCTGACTGGAACACTAGATATTTTTATTACACTCTCTAGAGAATTCAGAGAATTTCTCTTCCTTCACACAAAAGCTGGGTTCCCCCCAAACTATCCATGTACATTCTCAGGTCATGGGCAAGCACACGTCTATCTCTGCAAGGCACTTGTTTCTAGTCATCATCAACTGCTCCTAAGAGGAAGAAACTGTCCAAAAGTAACACAGAGGTTCCACTTCTTTGTTCCCAAATACTGAAGTTGCTTTATCTGATCAGAATCTTCTATCATTCCATCTTTCTTTATGCTTCATGACTTCTAACCCTGTTCCCAGGCCACCACCCCTGCACTGGCTAGACTCTCTTCTTCCCTTACTTACTTGGTGAATCAATGATTTTACATTATCCTTTTCTCTTGAATACCTTGCCCTCCTTGTCCTATTACCAGTCATGCCTTGCCAAGCCCCCACTATGAATTACTCCCACCATATGGCTCTTTCACTTGTATTCACATGCTGCTTAACAGAGCTGAAGGAAACCGTGATACTACGCTGAGTGAATCCACTATAGATTTATGTCTTTTATCTCAACTGGGTCTTCACCAAACTGCCTAAACCCCTGCCTGTCCCTAGCTCAAGTCTCCCACAGCACCCCCTCCTACCACCTCTTAGCTCAAGTCCTTGCTGCATAGTTTACTGAAAAAAAAAACTGAGTCTATTCACTGAGACTTCTCTCATCTTCCTCCTCCTCATCCCACATCACTTGGGTTATCATCCCCCACCATTCTTCTCCACTTCAATCTTGGATAAAGAGGTAGCCCTTCCCCTTGCCATGATCCCATTCCCTCCTCTTCCAACTTACCACAGCTGTAAGGAAAATGAAGAAATTTTCCAACTAAAGGTAAGAGATTACTCTCTTCCCCCATCATCCCTAGTCTTTCTTCACCTTACTTCTAGCCCACTTACCTTACTTCTTGCCCACAAACACACTCATGATTCTTTAAAAAAAAATTCCCCCTTGATCCCAGCTTTACTGCTGTCATCCTACCGCCCCTTCCTGGCTAAACTCCTTGAGAAACCTTTCTCTACTAGGTGCTTCTACTTCCTTTCAAATTTTTCTAAATTCTCCACAATCTCACTTCATCATTCAACTGAAAATTGACTGATATTGAAATCCAAAGTTACCAATGATCTCCCCATGAACATATTGAATAGCCTTTCCTCAACCTCACATTTCTTGACCCTTCTGTATTCTCTAACACTCTCAGTTACTGACTTCTCTTTTCTGGCATGACTTCCCCTCTGCTAGTGTCTTCCCCTCTGATATTACTTTCCAATTGTCCCTATTCATATCTTGTACATATACATTTTCATGTTTGTCATTAGAATGTGTGGTACTTTAGGGCAGGGAAGGTGTTTTTGTTTGTTTTGTTTTTTATTTAATTTCTTTGTATCCATAGCACTTAGCAGAAAGCCTGGTACATAAGTGATTAATAAATGTTTGTTGACTGACTCAATGATTATCATTTCCCCAAAAAACGCTCCCTCTCAAATTTCCCTATTTCTGTCAAGGATAGCACCAGCCTTCCCATCACCCAAGTTTGTTCCTTATTCTCACTCCACAAATCCAATTAGTTGCCAAATCTTGTTGATTCAATCTCTGTAACATTTCACATCTGCGTTGTTCCCACCACTCAAGTAGCAACTACCCTAATTCATGGCCCATCCCTTTCCTCTCTATTACTGCAACAGCATTCCAACAGGAATCCCCACAGCTGAAAAAGTAATATTCCTAAAGCTTAAGTCTGATCAAGTTCTTCCTGTAGTCAATCAACTCCAGCGCTCATTATTACCTCTAAACAAATGCAAATTCTTCTGTTGTTCTTTAAAGCCTTTTATAACCTGTCTCCAACTTACCATGCTAGCCTTATTATGCATTACTCTCTCTTTTTTTTTTTTTTACTATTTTTTTTTTGCAAGGCAATTGGGGTCAAGTGATTTGCCCAGGGTCACACAGCTAGCTAGTACATGTCAAGTGTTTGGTCTGAGGCCACATTTGAACTCAAGTCCTTCTGACTGCAGGGCTGGTGCTCTATCTACTGCGCCACCTAGCTACCCCTAGATTGCAACTTTCTATGCCTGCCTATCTTATATGACTCTTGTCCATGTTCTCCCATAAATTAGGCACATCTTTGATTTGTTCTGACGCTGTGAAGAGACTAGTGGAGCACTG